CGGTGTGTGTTTGCTGAGGGCTTTAACGTTTACGTTTGTCTGCTGGTCGCGGTTCGCTGTGTCAACATCGTGTGGGAAATTCTTGGCCATTATCCGTTACAAGAATATATGCTCACCGCGAACGCCGAATGAGCGTGAGAACTTTTTATGCTCAAGCGAAGATGTCGACCAGGAAAACAGAAAGTTAGTAAAAGGCGGTGTTGAAACTGTGTTAAGATACGTGTAGGGCAAATTTGTGCCTGAGTCTCGATGGGAAACTTACTTCATACACTCAAAACTATATTCTTATTGGAATATTACAAGTAAATAAGATATACACATGTGATGACCGTTTAATAAAGTTTCGAAAAGACTTTGGATCCATTACAAAAGAGAGCTTAGAATTTAAGCGTTCGACAAAAGGCTCTTTTTAAATCATTTTTATACTCTTGCAGACGGTTTTGTAACTTTATGTAAAAGTTTGCAAGCTTACAAAATAAAAACTTTTTGAATTTTAAAAATCGGCTAAACTTTTTACTGTGTATCTCAATTTAACAAAAATATATATATATTAATATTTAAAGTTTTTATGTATCTAAAAAAAAGACATTTTGTTTTGGGAAAACTTGTATCGATTTAAAATTTGTAATTTTAATAAGTAAAATCTTCAAAATAAGACAGCAAAACATTGAAAATTGTAATCCAAAATTGAATCATTCACAAACATTTTATGCTTTAGTTGTTACAACTCTATGTTTAGTTATAAAAATAAAATATTATTTATACATACTAAGCTTTTAAATGTAAAGATTCTTTTTTTAACATCTTTTAAAATCTCCGGCACTGGACCCTGGTATCGAATGCCCGAAAAGAAGGAAACTCCAATTAGACCGCATCATTAAGTAATACAATTACGCGCAAGACCTTCAATCATTTCCCCCCTTTCCACCACAAAATCAAATTCAACTTCAACCACCAAAAATAAGGAAACGAAAAAAAGGCTAAAGAAGCATTCGTTTCGGAACATCTTGTCGTCGTTCCCCAAACTCTGTGTGCCTGTTCCGGCCCAAGACATTTACAAGCATCAAATTACAGACAAAAGCGGTTCAAGAAAGTGTGGCACGTGCCACACACTTCATGTTGCAACCCCGAAGAAAGGCCCAGAAACTCAACCAGTTGCTTGCTGGGTTGGGCTGCGTTCCTGTCCCTTTGACAGCCAATTAGCGATCATCAGCCAAGATTATCAAGTGGAAAATTATAGGGTCTCAAATTGCCCAAGGCGAAAGACACGCCCCCCCGGACACACACTCTATATGGATCGAGATCGACGTGAAAGACGATCGTGTGATGTGTGGTAAATATGTTTAAGCGACTTAATGAACCCTGATGTTTGTCACGATAATTTCATGTTTTTGAATAGGCTCACAGCGAAGTCAGCAGGCGGGGCATCGAGAGGCTCTAAGAAGTGCTGGCTGCCAAAGACCCGCATAATGGTCTTCGACACGCATCGAATTACAATAGCCATTATTGGGCCAAGAACCATTGAAGTGCGAAGAGCGGGGAACTTGCTTTCGTTCTCTGCCAGCCTGTTCCAACTTCACGCCGCATTAAAATAAACAGGAAGCTATCGTTCCCAATTATGGGAATTGGCTAATGGGGACCTACGGAAAAGGGGACAACAGCTTTCAGGGATCTTCAACTGCTTGCCAACGCATTCTGCGTACCTGTTCAAAATCAATTAGCAAAACAAACAAAAAACCCATCCATCAAACCTGGCCTTTTGTTGTGTGGACGACTTCCAGGAACCCAACTCCGACTGCCTCGGGGCCACCGCCTGCGGTTTAAAGTGCAATCAAGCCGAACCTCACGATCAGGCCAACAGCATCATCAGCATCCCAGGCTGCTGAGATTGAGGCATAAGGAATAAGGGACCACGACCACTCAGGTACCTGGATAAATCTGCAGATATCTGCAAATAAAAATAAATAGCTAGAAGACCTCTGCTTTGCCGTTCTGTTCGCCCATTCGAATGATACAGATTTAAGCCTTTGGCTCTTTTGTCTGCAAGGGATTTGCGGTGATCATGGGCCCTGGGGGCTCAAGCCACAAGCAGATCGTGAGAAAGTCGGTAAAGGTTAACGAAACGCAAGCATCTTGGGAACCGCAACGCCCATTGTTTGTCTAATCCCAAAGAACATAAATCATAATTTGAAAACTGCCGAAGCATGCATAAAGTGTAGCAAGCGAACAGGTGAACAGCATCGATAGGCAGGTAATCTGGCTCAGACTACAGGTACAGGGCTCAGGCCCGGCAATGTATTAACAACCTCATCAGCAGCAGCAGCAGCATCCCATTATCATCCCATGATTGCCACTGATGCGCATCGATGCATAATTTTCGAACAGGTCCACAGCAAACTCAAGGAGGGCGCTGCCAGGAGGAGAAAAGAGCCCGCGGGCAGCTCCCTTGAGCATCGCTCAATGATGGGAAAAATCACTGAAGCGCACTCGTGTGTATCCAGGGAACAGGTTAACAAGATTGCCAGACTAACGATCGCAGCAGGAGATCTCTGCACCCACAAAATATGAGATTTTACGGGAGGGCTACCTAATTTCGTTTGCGGTTTTCCCACGAAAACTGTCGCTTCTGAATGGAAATCAAGAAGCGTAACCAATATCTTAACGACGAACAGGTTAGCATGGGAGTAAGGCAGATGACGGCGGAAAATCTTTACTACAGCATCTACCTCACAAACACCTGAAACGTTTCCGTATTTCGGCTTGACCTTTGACATCCCATTCGCTTGCCACAATTTTTGTTCGCCTAATCGAATGCTACAATTTAAATTTTTAACTTAAAACCCTTTAATTCAAAGGAAATTATTTTAAAAGCGAACAATGGGTTTTGAAATCATGTCAGTCCCAATAATCAAAACAATAGTTTTTATAATAATCAAAAATAATCAAATGAGAACCAATGATGCATAGCCTTGCGGTTCGAAATGGTCAGGTTAGCATGAAAAAAGGCAGGTGAAAAGGAAAACCTTTTCAAGATTTTATTTAATTTTGGGCACCTCAAAAAAAACCTTTGAAACCCAACATCTTGAATAAGGTAATGTAAAACGAACTTATCATGAATCATCCCACAAAAAATTAATCTATAATATTATTGAAATGCAACTATCAACACAGTTTGTAAATAAAATTCAAGATGATAATCATTGAGGCGTAGTCAAGAACAAATTTCGAACAGGCCAGGTAATCTTTGTTAAATTTTATTTAAGGCACGCATTTACATCAGCTTACAGCTATTGATGTTCACCTATCAATATGCTACAGTTTGTATAATTTTAAACCGTCTTATTAACACGGTTATACAACAACTCAAAGTCAAAAAATAAAACTATAAGGTCACAAAAGTGTAGCAATCGAACAGGGTATAAGATACCATAAGAAGGTATCCTCTTCAGCATCTATTGAACCTTTCGGCCTTTCTCAATTTTTTTTGTTCATTACGGTAAGTAAAAGTGTACAAAGGTCGCAAAAAGCATGAAGATCCTTTTAGCCAATGAAACGTGGCCAGCATAAGACAATGGTTCAGGTAAACATAAATTTATAACAGAGTACATAAAGACGACGAAATTTTGTTAAGAAAAATTACTTGACCTTAAAGTTGCTCCTTAATTTTCCTTTTTTATGGAAAAAATATAGTTTTTGTATAGCTCTCGCTCTCAGCCAACAGAGTCCAGCCATCTTCCTCTATTTCGACCTTGGATCTTGTACTGCGACTGCATGGTTTTAGATAGAATTCACTGGACCATGAACGATGTCAGAAAACCGACTAGGTTAACATCATTTATGATGGAAACTCTTTGAGCAAAATAAGGTGTATGAAAGAAACAGACCAGTCAATTGTTTAGACTCTATCTCTGCAAAGAAACTTCGCCAACAAGAAAAATTCTTTTTCATCATATTAAATCATAGTTAAGTTAAAGAGTTAAAGGTCACAAAAGTGCAGCAATCGAACAGGACCTCAGCGGTGATAGATCAAAAACAGGTAGCTTGTGAAGGTAAAATTCTACCATCCAGCATCTTCAGCATCTTTTGGGCACGACCTTTTTAAACTACCTGTAACATTTTGTTTTCAACAGGGTGGATGAAAATTGCTGAAGAGTATACAGAAGAAAATTGTACTTGAATCGTTACACTCAATCTTAAAAATTTTAACCAATGAAACGTGTCCAAAATCAAAAAATTGTTTTGGATAAAATTAAATAAACAGCATAAATACTTGGAAAACAACGCAAAGAATTTTAGGAACTAAGAATTTTAACATTTTCATCGGATTCTGCACAACCTCACCATTAGGTTTAATAAACTGATAGCCAATGAGGCGAGACCAAGATCATAGACGGTAAAAGGATGGGAACATTTTTATATAAAGAAATTTATTTCGTCTCGCAGAATTTAAATTTCAGGAGAACAATTAGGCTTACATAATTTGAAGGCAGGTTACCGGGAAACTCATTAACCAGCAGCATAATATTTTAATAGTAGAATATGGTATATTTCAGTAAAGAAAACATTGATGAAAACTGTGGCATTTCAATAGGCAATCAGCAAAAGTAGCAGGCTGCTGAGAATCGGAAAACCCGAAATTTTCCTGAATACATTTTCCTCGACACACTTTTAGCTTGAATTCCTGAAAATCGATTATTTATTATATTTCCTTATAACATAACATTATCTAAGAACGAGGCCTTTACTTTGACAATTATTATCCATTTCATTTTCCACATTGTTTTTATAACTTCCACTTTACGAATTATATAGTTGTCTTTAGATGCTGTTATCCTGTTATCCTGTCATCATTTTTGACCCTTTTTGTGAGTCTTTCCAACTATTTTTTTCATTTTTCAACAATTCAAAATTTATATTTTCATTTACATTTTAAAATAAAGATAATCAGATAAATATCAATGAAACGTGACCATGGTTCAAATATCAAACAGGCGACCATAAACTAAGAGCAGCATACATAAGGACTACCTGTATAAGCACTTGAAATCTATTTCCACTCCAAAAGGACCTTCAGAGTTTCACCAACAAAACTTTTGCTTTCCTCAGGGTGAAACCAGATCTCGAAATTGATAATTTCAGCACATTGACTGGCCTGGTTTGATTTTCAATATCCTACACGTTTTTAAAAAGGTTCAGGCACCATCACAGTCTGAAAATACAATGAAAGAGTTAAAGATCGCAAAACTGTAGCACTTAAACAGGATCACAGCATTCAAAAAGGTAAGCCTCGCTTACACTTTTATTTATTTTAAGAGAATTAAGTGGCCTATGTTTAAGGTCACTGATGTGCAGCCAAGTGCATCAAGATACCAGGCTTTCAAAATAGGCAGGACATGTTCACTCAGGCTTAAAAACAAAAGATGAAAATAGCCAAAAACTGGTTCTTAGGTAAAATTACACAGCCTCTCAAAAATCAGTGAAGCAAAACGAACTGGTTCAAAATATCAGGCTAACAAAAATTGGGAAGGTAACGTATCAAACCAAATCAATTAGGTTTCTAAATAAATAGCGAAACCAAAAAGAGTTAAAGGTCACAAAACTAAAGCATTTGAACAAGGTAACAGATTTTATAGAATGCAACCAGTAAAAAGTGTGGGTGCATTGTCCTACCTGCTGATTCCTAAGAATTTTTCATGAAAATCATTGAGTCGTGACCAAACGGATTAGACAATCCGGCCAGCATCAATATTAGATACAAGACTTTGGTGGAAAACTATTTGGATAAGCATTTAAAGGGTCAAAAGGCAATTCTAGGAAAAATCAGTGGAGCGTGACCAAATAGATCAATATAACAGGTTAGCAGAATATCAAACAGCCAAACAACAATTCAAACTTTTTTGAATGTTTTCAAATAGAGATAATCTCATCTAATCCCATTCAGAAGATCACTGAAGCGTGACCATCTCGAACAGGCTGACAAAAGTGATAGTAGGTGGAAATCGTGTTTTGGAAAACTGCATCCAGCATCCGAAACGAAAATGCAACGAACCCAAAAACTCACATGCAATTGTTAAATATAACCTAAGGCCCTGAGAAGTGGGAGAAAATCTTCACATGACACTCGGTTGCATCAGTTGCATCGGATGCAGGTTGCACTGTCTGTTCGCCTGTTCAAAGGTCACACTCGGATGCACATGGAAAACGAAAGATGGCATGTGTGGGGATCACTGTGGGAAAACCTGATGGTGTGGAAGATCCTACACAGATGACAGATCATACCATCACGCGATTTAAAAAACCAGACCATGCAAATGTATAGCAATTCAACAGGCGAACAGAGTAGCGGGGAACCCCACACTTAAGTACACTGACTGCGGTCAGTACAGCATCACATGGACCACGATCAACCCACGCATCCCCGAAAACACATGCCAAACTGTAGCATTTTAATAGGTCAACAGCAAAGGTAGAATGTCACAAGCATAGGGTCATCGCTTCCACAGATTTGGTAGACCTTTTCACACCGCCTAGAAATTCTGTTACCCTATTCGGATTTTCAAAGCCAAAACAAACAAAACCAACAATAAACAAACATAAACATCGTCGGGCTCCATGGGGGTCCACTCTATAAATATGTAATCGTGATTTTGGGGGAAAAACTGTAGCATTTCAATAGGCTAACATAAAAGAAGAATAGTTGTTAGTCTACGAAAAGTCCGAAAATCCCAAAGCAGGTAGCTGGAAATCTAGCTGCGTGTGTGTGCTTACTTTCCCTACGCACTGTGCGCCTAGTGAATTTCAATTAGCCAAACAAACATGTTAAACATTTCCATTTATTTAAACAAAATAGTGAAATGGGAAAGGGCCTGACTGCGTGGGCGTGGCCCGCTGCGATCGTGTCTCTACAACAATAGCCCAAAATCGTGGCGGAACATTTTCCCAGGCAATGCAACGAGGCGTTGAAAATCTAAGAGTTTTGAGTGAACCACCTGCACATTTTCTGTTCGCCTGGTGGAATGTTACACTTGGCTACACTTGTGGTTATTAGATGGGATGCTGCATAATCTTGGCGTGTCGCAACCCTAGGTCAAAAACTTGATTCGCTTCGTCGCATCTACACCCAACCAAAAAAAAAAAATGGAAATGAAAATAGAAATAGAAATCGAAATAGATATAAAAGTGTGGAGAGCGAAACGCGATCGCTAATCGCTGCTGAGATTCGTGGGCGCCTGCTACAATCGTAGACCTTGGCTCCAAAAATTGCGCAACGCTCCGCATGAAGTCCCCAAACGTCTTGAGACGCGAGATTTCTCAGTTTGGGGCTCATCATTCGCTTTCTCAATTTCGCTGCTCACCTATTCGTTTCCAAGACCTTTGACTTTCGATTTTCATTGGCAGACCTGCCCCACGATCTTGAGGAATCGCCCCAATCCAAAATATTGTCACCGCTCACAAAGAAATTAATCATATTTTTTCGAAATTTTACAAAATTTTAGATGTACATTACCAGGGTTACAGAAATGCCGAATAGTATCTTCATATCGTTGCACTCTAACAGATTGTTTACAAAAGATGGTGTGTTTGTCTCGCTTGCTCTGGAGAATAAGTGGAAAGGGCAAAGGGCTTGCCTATTCACTCTCTTTGCTCTTCTTCATTTCTTTCCCATTTTCCACTTGAGATTTGAGTGTGGTTATTTTTGGATAACTTCATCACAGCGGAGGCCTCTAAGATGGTATTTGAGCTATCACTAAGTATAGTAACTTTAAGAGCACTATTATTGGAAATCATCCTATAATCCTATAATATAATAATCATCAAAAACAAAACTAGTTAGTATATATAGATCATCTTGTTGTGATGTACATACATCATTGGCTTGCATTTAGTTCAGAACTTAAAGGTCTTCTAAGATATGCAAGATGTTTTTAGTATCCAACATCTTTTCAATCACTGCAATACAAGAAGTTTTTCATTTAGTTCTTAGAAATTATTTTCGATTAAACTTTTAGTTTAGTTTAGTTTTCAGATCTACTTACTATTTCGCCCATCCTTCTTTTATTTGAGTTGATTATCTCAAGTGGAAATTGTCATTATCCAGTGAGGTTCAAACTTTTAATACTTTTTTTCTGCTGGCTTAAAGCTTCAAGAAGCATTGGGCCTCGAGGAGAATCTCGGCAGAGGCGTGCAGCTTCTGTTTCTCCACATCCGTGAGGGGCAGCTCGAACACATGACTAATGCCACCCGCTTGGACCAGACAGGGTAGGGATAGCACAACGTTGTCCTTGATGTCATTGATGCCCCGCATGTCGGTGCCCACGGAGGCGATCTTGCCCCTGCCGCCGCACATCGCCTCCACGATGTCCGTGCAGGTGGTGGCAATGGCCCAGTTGGTGTAACCCTTGACCTTGCCCACGAACAGACCGCCTGAGGCGACCTGCCCGTTGATCTCGAACCAATTCTCCGGATCTTCGCCGCAGGCCAAATCCTTGACCACGTCCTTCAGCCGTATGCCGCCGATGGAGACGGTAGACCAAGCGGGCACCCCACTGTTGCCATGCTCCCCGATCACGAAGCCCTGGACTTGAGACGCCGGCAACCGAAGTCGTCCGGCGATGGCATTGCGGAACCGCATCGAGTCCAGATGACAGCCGGTGGTGAAGCACCGATGTTTGGGCAATTTTCCAATCCGCTGCACTGCGTAGGTCATCACATCGGCGGGATTCGAGATGACTATGAAGGTGGCCTTGGGACTGAGTTCCACCAGCTTCGGCACCGCCTCCTTGAGTATCTCCACGGTCTTGGACATGGCTGTCATGCGAGAGCGATCCTTTCCGGCTGGTCGGGCCCCAGCCGTAATGATAACCAAATCGGAATCCTTGGAGTGAGAGCCATCGCCACAGGGCACAATCCGTGGATCGCCCAGAAAGGCGGCGCCATGCTGGAAGTCCAGAGCCTCCGCTTTGGCCAGCTCGTAGTTGACGTCCAGGATGACGAGGTATTTGGTGAGATTGCGGAGCAGCAGCATGACACTGATCGCCGTACCCACCTGTCCAGCGCCCACCACACTGATCTTGGGGATCTTACCGTGCGTAAACTCCTTCATGGGCTTCATCCTCTTGTTAAAGGCGGAACCTTGAGGTTTGGTGGCGTGCGGCTGGTGCTTACAGCTGGAGGCCATGTAATTTGTCGTATTCAAGCGACTCACCAGCTTAAACATGATTACAAAACCTTAAAATAAGTCGAAGATTTTAAATTTAGAATTTTGTAACTCAAAAGATCGGTGTTTAATTTTTGAGAATTTAAAATGGAATACCCAATCTAAGTATTCTTGATGAAATATTTTGTTTGCTTGCAACTTTATTTCAATTATTTCTTATTTTATAAATAATAAGTATATAAAATAATAAAGATACCTTTAACCTAATGTATTGAACCTAACATTGAACTTTCAAAAAAATCCTAAAAACAGACTATTTAGTTAAAATATAAGTTAATATAATTTTTAAATATATACATAAATCCCTTTATATAAGAAAACATTTAAATGTATAGTAAATATCATATTGTAATTAGTTGATTTAAATAAAATGTTACGCTCACAACGTTTCAACAAAATTTTACATTTATTTAAATTTGTAAAATCTTAAAGCATACTTTTAAGCTAAATTAAAATTAATTTTTTTTTGTCATAATTTAGGAACAACTATAAGACCATTCTTAACACTAATTTGTTAAAAAAGCACCCCTGTTAATGAAGGCGTGTTTTTGGTTACCACTTAAGGTCTCACTGCTTACTGCTCATTGATTTTTCGCATCGATTGAATTCGGTTTATTCTCGTGAAGATATTAATCTCATATTTTTTTCTAGAACCACGTGTTGTCCTATGCACGCTCATTTGCCCATCTTCCAGGGTATCTGAGTGCTATTTTAAAGGACATATATTAATCATATCGACCACCTTACCGAATGCTTTGCTGATATCTCTTGGCTTTGCATTTCATTTTAGTTGTCGAACAATTAGAAAAATGTACATATGTACATATATTTCTTCCATTTATGAAAACCTCGTGTTGTCCTATGCACGCTCAAATGCCATTTTCCAGGGTATCTGAGTGCTATTTTGAAGGACATATATTAATCACATCGACCACCTTACCGAATTCTGTGCTGATTCCTCTCAGCTTTGCAATTCATTTTAGTGGTCGAACAATTATCTAAATTTATTTGCTATAGATGTATATATCTCAATAGAACATCGTGTTGTCCTATGCACGCTCATTTGCCCATTTACCAGGGTAATTGAGTGCTATTTTAATGGACATATGAAAAACCATGGGTCAATCTTACCAAATGCTTTGCTGAATTCTATGCTTGGCGTTTCATTTAAATTGACAGACAAATATGATTTCTTGTAAATTCCGAGCGTTAAAAAAATCATTAAACTGTGGCCGAATTTACAATGGGCTTCAGTTACGCAAGTAACGCCAGAAAAAATTTGGTAGTATTTAATAACGTGTTGGTTTATTAGATCTCTGCGTTTTGAGGTACTTCCACAATTCAAATTAAAAACAAAAGTTATGCCCAAGCTTTACGATCTGCGTAACCATTTTGGAAATGTAATTTAAAATATTTTATATTAATGAAATATTATGTTCAATATATGGTTTTTAAACATAACTAGGGTTATTTTCAGATATATATTGATTTGTTATTTTTATATAAAATAACGAATCTCTGTGCAGTCTTCGGAGGTCCAAAAAAAAAGGTCCAATACTGCTGACAGGATTTCGGCCAAATTAGTAGCAGAAATAAAAATTTTGTTAACTTTATATTGTTGTTAATATTAAAGGTATTTCCTATATGATAACCTACTATTTTTGAAAAATATCAAAAATTTAGAAGATGGCAAACTTCCAAAAAAATAATTTTTTTTTGGGAAAACATTTTTTTAAAAAACTAGTTTAGCTTTATAAGAAATTATAAAAAGCTGAAAATAAAATAATAAAGCAATAAACAATAAAGCAAGCCATTAAAGATGATTGATTTAGAGGGAGTTTATTTTCTTTGAAATGATATTAATACTAGGTACACATTTGGTCTATTTAAGTGCCTGGGACGCCTCGATCAGTCGCTGTAGATCATCGTTCTTGGTCAGCGCATTCTGGACGGCCCTGATAACCTGGGAGTCCATGGCCTGTGTTTGTTCCGGGCTGAGGGCCAGGGTGCTCAGCCGTTTGGCCAGTTCCGCCAGCTTGGGCTGTCGCTCCAGGAAGCGTTCCACGACCTCGGGTGAGATGTTGGCCAACTTGGCGAACTGCTGGATGTGCGGCGGCAGGGTTGAGTACTTGATTTCCGCATCCTCTTGCTGCTTCGGAGTGTTCAGATGTGGATGGGGTGCCCGTGTGGTGCTGGGCACTTGAGTGGTCTTTACGGTGGGCAGTGCAACGGGTCGCAGGGGAATGGGATAGTGATATGGAAGGGGTTGCCTCACCAGGATGGGACGCATCGGTTTCAAGCCCGACGGAGGAGGTACAAAAACGGGCAGAAACGAACGGGCTGGAGGAGCGATGACCGGAGCAGGAGTCGTCGTAGTGGTGACCTGGCCTGACCACAGGTTATACTGCTTCATAAAGTCTCCCACGCGTTGCATTAGGCTTCCTTCCGGGCTGGCCACTACGGCAGTTGACTTTTCCTGGGGCAGCTCATCATAACTAACATTGGCCATGTTGTTATCGTCGTCGTCGTCGTCGTCACCATTGTCTCCATTGTCGTCCTCCTCCTTCTCCTCAGCCACATTCTCCTCCGCCACATTCTCCTCCGCCTGCTCAAAATGTAGAGCGTCCAGATACTGTTTCATCAGGGCTAGACCCTCATCAGTGCCGGTCAGAGTGCGTATATAGTCAATGGTCTCCCTGGCATTATCCGTGCCAATCATCTCGCCCAGCTCCTCAATGCTCGGCAGATCCTTTAGGCCCAGTTTGTTGTGAGCTATGTCCAGCAGATCAGCGGGATAGCCTGGACTTGGAGCCGCAGTAGTGCTCGTCGTCGTCGTCGTGGTTTTGGTTGGCAAGCCAGGCTTGATTAGCTTATAAACTGGCATGTTGTAGTACAAGGCATTCTGAAGCTTGGAGTCCAACCTGGGCGGGAATTTTCTATACGTATCCACTATGACAGCACTATCCTGACCGTAGAAAAGAGGTCTCAACGCGACTTTAGCCTGGATGCACTGTAGCAGGGCAAAGGACCAAAGAAAACGCATTAAAAAGGCAATCATTCCGTTCACTTCAAATGTTTCAGGATAACTAAACCACGATTACTCGAAAACCATTCGTTGTAGACTTTGAACCCGGAACGAAATCTCGTTTTATGGACCCACCATCTGTATGTGTTCCCTGAATTCATGGGATCGTGCTGGTAAACTACCTGCTGGGTCTTAGAAAATCTCTCATTTCCATTGAATTTTCCACCTACGCGACGAGCAGGAATGTGATAACCCTGCGCTACCTGGTTTTCTGTTGACAAAAGAAATGGTTTTTCAAGAGGGTTTCACATTTCGAAGGCGAATGAAAACGGGAAAATCAAAGAGAACAGAAAGAGACCCCGACCCCGATAAGCAGAATTACCAGAGGCTTCAAAAATCCAAAAGAAAATCTCACTAGGTTTCAACAAACTAACACATGTTTTTATTATCGTAATTAAACCTTAAATTGGAACACTCGATGGCAACGCATGTGGTACAAATTGTGGCCATCAAATCCAGTCACAGATCTCTTAGAAACTAGGAGGAATTCTAAATTCGCAAGCGCTGCCCGAAGGATGCATTTTGTAGGATTGTTTTTGTATTTACACAGGGTTTACGTACATGAATTTTGCAGCAGAAAACAAATTGCAAACAACTGAGAGCGACACCATGTAAATGGGATTTTTGGGGGGGAGGGGGGTGTACTGGGAATTTTGCATGCCGCTGGGCAGACGCTTCGCTATCAACACTTGGACACGCCCACCAAGGCGGGACGTATGCAGCGCTCGTGCAGTTTGTAGCCCAGCTTGGTCACCTCCACCACGGTGTTGGCCTCGACGGTCTTGTCCTCCTTCTGGAACAGAGCCTCGTGCTGGTTGGGATCGAACTTCTGGTTGATGGGGTCCAGCGGTTCCAGACCATGCCGTTTGAACACCTGCAGCAGCGAGGCGCGCGTCATGGTGAGGCCCTCGTACAGGTTCTTTAAATCAGCATTGCCGCTAAGCTGAAATGTTAAGGAAATTGAGTAAGGGTATATTTAATAAGTAATTAAACAAGACCTAAATAGTTTTGAGCTTATCCATACTTAATTAAAAAAAGGGATTAAGAAGGAAAACCCGTTCCATTATTATATATTTACCCCTTGAAGAAGTGCGCAAAAGTGAACATAATATAATTCAGCTGTCTTTATAATGGCTTATTTTAATCCATTCGACTCTTTTAAAATAAAATATAAAGATTAATAAAATATTAAATGTTAATGTCTCAATTAAATCATAATCCAGTCTTTTAGAAAATATTAACTTCTTATATAAAGGAAAGATTATTTAAGCTTGACAAATCTTTTTACTAATAACTTTTGTGCAAATCATTACCTAAAACTATTCAAAAATTTGTATGTATGGTCGTTCATATTTAACTTTAACATACGAGCACATTTTCATTCGAATTGAAAAAAAAAAAAAATACATACATATGTAAAATTAAAGAATCTAGATTGTCTAAGTTCAGAAATAAAGACATTGAACCGAAAACGTGATCTACAAAAGCTTGAGAAGGAAAACTATCTGTGAGTAACGAAATTGAATTTATCTAATTGCTTATCTTAACCACAAAGGCCTAACTATTTACAGACTTGCTCATATAGGATTCTCATATAAAGGACCTTAGTTTTGTAATCCCACCTTATCCTTGGGCACCGCCTGCGTGGCATGTCCCAGGGTGTCCGCCACCTCGAGCAGGTCCTTGCAGAAGCTCTGGATACCGAAGATCTTGGCGTCGCTGATCTGTTTGTTAAGTCGGTTGCGCATGTTCTCGCTGTCGGCGAGGGATCGCTTGTACTTGTCCAGGAGCTCAGCATTCTGCTCCTTGGCGGCGGCCAGATCCTTCGTAAGTTTCTCAACTTCTGGCGAGGATGCGGGGGTCTTTTGCTCGGCTGCTCCTGCCGCAGGCGCCGCCTCTTCCGGCTGTTTTTCTGTGCTGTACAAACGCAGGGCGCTGCGGAAGGGTGGAAATGGTAGTGTTACAATTACGTGCGATTGCCGACAAGCGTGCGCCCTCATTACGTCACAGAAAAGAGGAAGCAATACGGGCGGATTTACCTCATATTCTGCGCGGTGACCGATGACCTCAGCTGGACGAGACGCCGGCCGAACATCTGCAGGGGTAATGCTGCCTTGGCTGTCATTGTAGCTCGCTTTTTTTTCGTTAAACTAACTTATTTCCTTAGCTTTTGACTAAGAATCGTCGGCTTTAGAGCTGGAACAAAAATTGGAGCTGTAACCAAAGTCGATGATTTTTTAAAATAATCGATATTTGTTTCATATCGATGTGACAGGAAGTAAGCTATCGATGTTTTCCCCTCACTAACAGAAGAGCGCGAAGCAATGAATTTAAAAACATTTAATTTAATTCTATAATAATAATTTAAAAGAACAACCACTGTCTTTATTTAATTGGCGGTTTTAAGTACACAAATACGAATCACCGTGTGGCGGATGTAGAATGCTTATGTCGAATGAGTTGTATAATACATGTCAAATATGATTTTTATGTAAAAAACTATCTAACTTTTACAGTCTATAAAAAGCGGTTTAAAAATAAAAATGAACCAAACTAACAAAAACTAAAAGTGGCCAAAAAAATGTTGAATATGTATTAATTTCATTCAAATTGTATTAGTACTGCAAAAATAAAATTACGGATTTAATATACATAAAATACAAATTATAGAAATATAACTTAATTTAAAAAAGAAAATAAGACATTAAATATATTTTTATTAGGTATATATTACATATATATTATATATTTGGGAAACCAGATGTAAAATTAAAAAATAAAACTTTCAATATGAACGAATGTAATATGACATGCAAGTCAAAAAATCAAAAAAAAATCTTCAAAATTTGGTAAATGTTTAATTTATAAGTTTAGATTTTAAAGAGTAATATTTACAAAAGGTTTGGTTCTTTCAATTATTATTATTATTATTATAAATATCTTTCTCTTATATACAAAAGTAATAAAAAATTGGTTCAGGAAAAAACCCGGACCTAAGACAAGAAAGGTGTACCAATTAATAACCCGGAAGTTCTCTATTAACATAAAGACTTGACACTTTTCCAAATAACAAATTGTTGGATCCCAGAATGTAGATTAGTTGAATAGCCATGAATTGGATACCCGAAGTCCTTTTCCGAATACTTGCATCTTAAGAATTCACCTTGTTCGTAAAGACTGAATTAATTTAACCACATATTTCTTGCATAAAAAAGAACAACGGAATATTTAAATATATAAATTGTATATCAGCAAAAATGTAAAATCGTGCGATCCGTGTTAATGCAAAAATGGGCCTATTTTCTTGGCGCTACCTTCGGAAATATATTATTAAGAACGCGCCGCCGGCTATTAATCCACGCACAGCTTATAAATCGATCAGCCCCGATCTGCCACGCCCCGGGGCCGTCAAAATATGGACCGCTTGAAAAAGTTGCTCTGGAAATGTAAATATCGGGAGGCTCTTAATAAATTCAAAGTACGAGTGGGGCTGGCTCAGCATCTATTCAACAACTTACCTCTCCACTCGCCCGAGTATTACATATGCGCATGCATTGTATATATTTTGGAAAACGAGGCATGGCCAGTCACTTAGTTGGATCTCGCCACGGGAACAGCGAGGTTGTCGTTGAGTCTTGGCCTTACGGAGCTTACGAAAATGCGCGAGGAGGATTTGCAACTGGCCCGCCAAATGGTGGCCAACAGTTCGGTGTCCAGTTCCTTGGAGGAGGAAAACGAAGGAGCTGCCGGCACATCGCCGGGTAACTCACCCAGACCCTTGAGAAGGGTTCTGGATTTGAGCGAGAGGCGAAAACAATTTAGGTGAGTTGACAGGAATTTTTTTTATTTAGAGAAAATCAACATGTATAGATTTTCAAAGCTACATATATAAATTCCAAAGGATTTGCCATTTCACAAGTGATATTCAGTTTAATAATAATTCGGCTTTGAACACCCTTCAGACAAACCAGATATATTTTTAATGAATTTCACCAAGTGTTTTTTTAGTTTAAATGTAGACATGTTAGTGACATTCATTCCCATTAGATATGTTGGAATACTTTTAATACAATTTTTTATTTTCATATTAAAAATAATATCAAAGATTAATTATTACAATTTCACAAGTGATTCTCCAGCAAAAGTTTGTACTTTGTTTATAAATGGTTCTAAAAATAAACAAACACACTTTTGTTCGTGTTTTAAAAAGCACTTAAAAACACGTACAGATTAGGCTTAAAATAAACGTTGTTTTCACGTGTGCCTGACTAATTTGCATTCCATTGTCGCAAACAATTATGAATGACGAACACTTTTGCAAATGACGTGAGCCATCGGCTGGTTTTTAAAAATTCGCGCAATGAATGAAAATATCGATAAGTATCGATATTGCCATCGACAATGTGACAGCTCTACCTACAAAATTTTTTGCATTAAAAATTCGTTAAATTCCTGTGTTGTGTTCTGCATATAAGGAGCAATCAGAGTGATAGATTCCTGCTGAAGGGGCACATTTGTGGCCCTAATCTTTCCCGGGAAGAAGAGTCGCAACAGATAGATGCCCGCATCGGTGGACAAGAACTCCTCCGATGGCCAGGCGTTTCCCTGCAGCCAAAATGATGCCGCCGCGAATGGGGAGCATCATCTGTTGAATGCCTGTGGATTGGCGGATGGAGCAACTGCATCCACCTCGGCGCCGGGATTGGGCGACGGCCTCATGACCAGCAGCTGGTGGTGGTAAGGTCCCAACAACCTGCCCCTATTTACGTGCATGCCACTTGTGCCTCTTCCCGGATTCCCATCTCTCATGCAACTACAGTGGCGAACACAAAAATAGGGCATCGTTGCTGACAGTATTTAGAAGGATTTAAATAGATAGATAGAAAAATACATTTTTAATGCATTAGCTCGCTGTACATCTCCCCCTCCTAGAACTTATCTTAAAACTTAGACACAGTGACAAGAGATTCAAGAGAATTCACTATATTGACAAACAAAACTAAATCAATTTCATTTGTTCTTTTAATTAATTTAAATTAGGTCTTTTTTAAACC